GGCCCTGTCCAGTCTCCCGCCCTCCAGAGTCTAAGCCAGGGACTGTCTGTGGAGAACACCCCAAACTCTTGGTCCCCCGGGGGGTCAACACCACTATTCCTCCAAGAACCTCCCCGCTAAGAACGGCTCAGGCGAGCTTCGTGCTGGCCAGGAGGACCTGGGGGCCCAGGCCACGTGACGTGCCAGGGCGGCCTGGCTGGCTGTGGGGTGACGGACTGGACCTGTGCAGGGCCTGTCCCTTCTCCAAAACAGCGTTGCCACCTACCAGGGGCCTGAGGAGAGCACGGGCTATTCCGGCCTCCAGAACACTGGCCTGCGCCTCGGCAGGGAGCTGCGGTGTAGACAGACCCTCACCAGGGCGCCACGTGGAGGGCCGGGCAGCGCGAGCCCATGAGGAGGCAGCGGGAGGCCTGCTCCACGCGCCCGGCCCTCGGCTGCTGACTCCCCACCAGCAGGGGCAGCTGGGTGGGACCCGGGTGGGGCTGTGATGGGTGCTGCCCTCCTGCCTGCGCACCTGGCCTGCAGAGCCTGACCCTGGCCCTGCGTGAATGCTCAGGTGGGCAGGCAGCGCCCCAGGGTGTGACCGGTGGTGTCCATGCTCGGGCCCCCGGGCCTGCCTGCCCAGGGCAGAGGTTTCTACCCAGGAAGGAGCCCGTCAGAGAAAACACCCTGGTCGCAGGCGGCACCCCCGTTTGCCGGGGGCGCAGGAGGCCCCTCCTCGGTGACCCTCCCAGACTGACACGCGGTACTGACCAGGGACTGCAGGATGGCGTGGTTGGTGGCGTTCATGCAGGAGTCCAGCGGGAAGGAGCACTCCCCCTCGCAGTAGTAGGCCGAGTAGCCCTGGGGGGCAATGACCCAGTCCTGGAGGGAGAGGGAAGGAGGTGAGTCCCGGCCGGGCCCCTCCCTCCCCCAGTCCACTTCAGGGCCCAGCTCGTGGCCACGGCCGTGTCAGCACTCTCGAGTGGCCGCCCTCCAGGCGTGACCTCCCCCGTGGCCCCCACAGTCAGGGCCAGGCGGTGCTGTGCCTGCCGCCACCATCAGGCCTGGCCTGTCCCCTCCCCGCCTCCGTCCACAGGGCCTGCAGCTGTGGCCACAGTGAATGCCCAGGCCACTGCCCAACCGGTCAGGGAGTGAGTGTTCCATGTCATGACTTTTATAAAACTTGCACTTTCCCACCGTGCGAGAACGCACCCTCCCTCTAGAAAACTGATGCAGGGGAAATGCAGAAGATTCCAGGCATGCGCCCCCATGATCCTCGCTCCACCTGGAGACGCCCGGCCCTTGGTGGGTGCGGCCATTTCGGGGAGCAGGAGACAGAACTTACCAGCCAGTCGAGGTCCCGGAAGCTGACGTAGAGCTCGTGCCGCCGGCACACCTGCCGCAGGTCGGCGCTGGCGCCGTGCACGCCGTCTGCAGGGGAAAGGGGCAGCGGTCATCTGGGCTCCTGCTGTGCGCAGCCATGGGGGGCTGGGGCCAGGGCAGGACACCGTGGGCCTTGCTGAGCCCGTGAAGGGCGGAAGTGAAGCCAGTGGGTCTCCTCCCTGCACTGCTGACGCTGACCCCGCTCAAGAAACCTCCAGGCTCCCCGCGGCTCTCAGGGCCTCTGAAGCACCCCTGCACCCAGCGCCGCCTCCCCCGGCTTCCGGACCGAAGGTCCCCCAACGCCCATCGACAGCCCAGGGCGCACTCGGACCGGGGAGACCCTAGGGTATGGGTGGCGCCGGCTCTCCCCACCTCCCGGCCTTTCCCACCCGACAGGTGCAGGTGCGCACACTGAGGCTTCTGCAGGCTCCAGGGCAGACCACCTGGGCTGTGCTCCCGGGGCGCCTGATTCCCAGGAGACTTCTGGGGAGCCTGGGGCCGGGGGAGGGCAGACGCCCAAGGCCTGAGTGTGCAGGGGCTGGTGACCGGCGCAGGAGGCATCAGGAGGGGCGTCTGGAGCGGGACTGGGGAGCCGGCCCTGGCCCTCACCAAAGATGCCTGGGAGTTTGTTGGGGTGCGGCAGCTCGTTGGTTTTTGTCGGCAGCCTCCTCTTCAGGGGCCTCACAGCCCGAGGGGCCCGCACGGGACTGGGGCTCGCCCTGAAAAAAGTGACCATGAAAGGCTGTTTGGAGCGCGGGGCCCGTCGCCCCTGCAGACCGGCCAGGCCAGGATCCACGCTGTGCCCTGAGACAGAGAGAGGAGAGGGCGGTCACTCTGGGGTGCTGACCTTGCCGTGGACACCACAGGGGGAGACCAGAATCCACGACCAGCCCAGCCCCCTGCAGCAGGTCTGAGGGAGCCCGGGGAGAAGCCTGAGACGCTGGGTGGGGTGGGATAGGGGGTGTTTACGGGGCTCTCGGCTGCTTCACGCCACCTCACAGGCCCCTCTACACCGTCCTGAGCTCCCACTTCACTGAGAGACCCCAGAGGCCCCAGGGCTGGCCTGACCCTCCCGGGGGGCGCGGGGCAGCAGCCAGGCTCCCAGCCGGCTGCAGGACACCCAGGGAGCCCCACCTCCCGTCCAGCTCCGGGATGTTCAGTGGATTTTGCCCAGCTGACGAGCAGCTGCAGGAGGCCTGGCCCTTGCTCTGGGAGGCCCCCAGAGCACACAGCTGCCCCGACACCCCCCGGGGACCCACAGACCCAGTGGGTGGGGCCACCTGACCATCGTCCTGAGCTGGGCTCCCCACACCGACCCCCCAGAGCCCACAGTCTGGGTCACCCTGCGGTGGGCAGGGACGGGAGCCTCAGCCCCAGCAGAAGGCTGTGGAAAATGGGGGTGTCCCCCATCCTGAAAACACGCTGACCCCTCCACCAAACCACCTTTGTGGTCGCGTGTCCTAGATGACTCCCTGGCTTTTTCACTATCAAAGCAACATAATGAAAGTGAAAAAAGCTTGAGGAGACAGGTCACTCATACACCCCGGGTCCCTCCACGCGTCACGCTCACGTCTCTGGGGTAGTTTCGCGCCAGCTTAATTTACACAGGTGTGAGCATGGCCAAGACGTCTGTACTGGCCCCGGTGATTTCACACCAACACCTTCGTCATCTTTAGGGTCCAGCGGGGACGTTCAGCCCGCGCAGCGACGGGTCTCAGCGCGCCCCCCGTGGGGACCCTCGGGCGGCTGGCCGGTGCGGGGTGCCCTCCAGGCCCCGGGCTCTCCCAGCACAGCGGGGGGACCCAGCCTCGGGTCTCAGCCTCCCCTCAGCGGGCGGAGCCACGACGCCCCTCCGTAGACCCGCGCGCACCGGGGCTGAGACCACAGCTTCTCCCAGACACCTGGGCTTCTCCTGGCTTCTCGCCACAGGTACGCCGGCCATGGCGAGGAAGGAGCCCTGCTCCCCTGGGGGCATGTGACTCAGCCCGTGCGACCTCCAGCCCTGCCTACGTTTCCCAGCCGTCAGTCCCCGCTCCGTGCGCGGCTCACGCTCACGCCTGCACTTCCCTACGCGGACACGCAACGCGCCTGCTCCTCGGCGAGACGAGACGAGGGCGGCTCCATCGCAGCTCCAGCCCCTGACAGCGGCCCCACCTGTCCTGCTCAAAGGTCAGCCCTGAACAGGTGCTGTGACCTGCACCCCTGGGCCGCGGCTGACAAAACAGGAAGCTGTCCGGGGCTAACCTTTGACCTCTGACTTCACCAACACCTGCACCCTCTGCTCAGGGGCGTCCTGCTGAGAGATTGTTCCTGCAGGACATGCAGGAGGCCCAGAGAGACGCCCTGCGGGGAACGTCCCGAGGACCCCGGTCGCGGCCCAGTCGTGGGGAGACAGAGCCACAAGACACGAAGGCCCCAGGCTCCGGGAGGCGGCCGAGCTAGGAGAGGGCGACACTGGTCAGCCCAGCTCCGGACTGAAGTCCATACCCAGCTGACACCAGCATGGCCCTGGGCGGGGCTGCCCTCAGGCCTGAGTGCCCGGGCCTGCCCCAGAAGCCCTGAGAGCTCCATCCACCAGGGGCCGGGCTGGTCTGCTCTTCCTTGGGCAGCTGCATCTGTGGACCATTGAGGCAGGGAGTCCCGCCGGGCGCCTGGCCAGGCCTGTGCTGGGGGTGGGAGCGCTTGGAGGCTCTCACAGCTGGACAAGGAGCCCCGTTTAGACACGCTGGGGCCCAGTGGGGGTGGCGGCTCTCTGTTTGCAGAGCAAGCTGCAGCAGACCCAGCACCCTCATCCTTCCGGCTGGGGTGGAGGCAGGTGGTCAGCCCCTCTTCTGTCAGAGGTCTGGCAAAGGACGCTCTGGCCTCCTTCCCAACTTTTCCTCCCTTGCCCAGCTCATCCTCCTGGGCTCTCTGTCCAGCTGGCTGCAGGGAAGGACCTGTTAGGAGATATGAGTTTGATGCCCCACTGGCAAACCCCTTTCCAGAAAGGCTCTGGGGCCCGGGGTCCCTGCCTGCAGACCTGCCCTGGGGGTGCTGGCAGGCATGCTGTCCCCTTGGTAGTTGGCAGGTATGTGCTCGGGATGGGGCCATACGGAGGCTTTCCCAGTAGGCTCCACTGCATATGTGGGCCCCACAACACCCCCGACCTCACCCCATTTCTGAGTCTCCCTAGTCAGGTTCCAGAAGTCTTGGCAGCTGCTCCCCAGCACCGGAGGTCAAGCCCTACTCACAGCCCCTCTCCAAACGTATGAGGCCGAGGCCGCCCCTCCTCTTCCCCAAGGCTGCCTTCTGCTCTGGGTGCCACCTCACCCTTTCCTGAACCCCAGCTCAGCTGCAGCCGTGGGTGTGACCTCAGTGCTGCGCTGAAGGGCAATCAGGATGCTGGGTTGAATCCTTAGAGAGAATCCCAGTGTGGGAGGCTGCTCTGCGCTCCTACTGGACATCTCCCGACACCCAGGGCAGGGCAGATCCTCCCCAGAACACCCCAAAGCAAGCTCTGGAAAAGGGCCCTCCCTAGAGGTGCCCCGGATGCTCCAAAGGGGTGCAGCCTCTCTTTGTTTCTCCTGCGCCAACTGCGTCCAGTCTGTGTGTGGCCTTCCCCACGGCCCAGGGGTCAGCGAGACCACTGGTTTCTCTTGACCAGCTGCAGCTTGTTCTCACCAACCTGCTCCCATCAGTTTTATGTATCTCTAGAGCTTCAGAGAAAGCAGGTGCTCCTGGTCAGTTTTTAACAACACACACACACATACCCCTCCATTTTGGTTTCAGAACTATGGATTCAGGATGAAACATCTGCTGCCTCCTTGGGTTCTTCGCAGTGTTACCAAGAGGTGAGTTTGGGGTTCCACAGCAGAGAGGAAGGAGGATGCTGTTCTGACCGCAAAGGAGCACTGTGATATGATGAGAACACCCATGGTGTCCACCAGCTAGGTTTCTGGGATGCAGCCGCCCGAGCTCAGCCCTGGGCACACATGGGCGGACTGTGTCCGATCGAGGAGCCTGGTGGAGCTGTGCACATCAGCTGTCCTCCCCTTGGGTTGCTCCCTTACCACCGGCCTCCCAGATGGCCTTACTCCCTTTCTAAAGACAACTATATTGCCATAAGGAGAAATGAAAAGGGGTGGGGGTGGGGCAGCTCAGGGAAACAAAATTTAGCAATCAAACGAAAGACCCCGGAAGAAAAGCCAGAGGCCTTATGTCCTCTGAACCCCTCACTCACAGGTAGGTTTGTGTATTGTCCACCTGGTAAGGGGCCCGGGTGCACTCTCCGTGGAGTTATGCCCTCCCCCACCGTGCTCGCCTCCACTTCAGGGTTCGAGGTGAGAACTCTTCCTACTCTGGTCTCAAGCTGCGTGGATGTGACAGGCATCCTGACTGCTGTCATTTGCTTGGTACTTACAGAAAGCACAGTGCCAGCGCGAGTTCCCCTTTATCTTTAATTAAAGTTGCACCCCTCTTGAGAGAGCAAAGTCGATCTAGAAGTAGAAAGTCTGAGCTGCCAGGAGAAATCTAGTCCAACCCCTGGGGAAATGCGTAAACGTGCCCACGGCCCCCTCTCGTGGGCTCCTCTGCGGTCTGACACACACGCGCTCTGCACCGAGGTTTCTGGCCCGAGTTAGGTCGCCACCTGCTGCATGGGTCTGAGGTTTGGCGAGACGGCAAAGGCACTCCCCGTGCTCCTTATGATGTCCTCCACTGTCAAGCCTGCCCAGAGCTCAATCAGCGTCAGCCCTTTCTTCTTGTGCACGTCAAACACAGCCTTTTCGGTGATGATCCGGTCCACGCACTTCTTGCCAGTCAGGGGCATTGTGCATCGTTCCAAGATTTTGGGCTCATTATTCTTGGTACAGTGCGCCATGGTGACCACCACTCTGGTCTTGGGGCTGGACACCAAGTCCATCGCACCCCCCATCCCTTTCACTTTCTTTCCAGGGATCATCCAGTTCGCCAGGTCACCGTATTTGGAAACCTGCATGGCGCCTAACATGGTGAGGTTGAGGTGCCCACCTCGGATGATGGCAAAGGAGTCGTCGCTGGAGAAGAAGCAGCCCCCGGGTATGATGCTGACGGTCTGCTTGCCCGCATTGATGAGATCCGCGTCCACATCTTCTTTCCGTGGAAATGGACCCAGGCCGAGGATCCCATTTTCACTGTGAAGATGAACCGTCATGTTTGGGCCGATGTAATTGCTGGCATGCAGGGGGATGCCAATGCCCAGATTGGCATACATGCCGTCCTCAAACTCCAGAGCCGCGCGCTTGATGATCCGCGTCCTTACATCGCACACACAGACGTGTTCCTCCTCCTCTTCCCGGAATGTCAGATGCTCGATTTTTTTCTCATATTTCTCCCCCTTTATTATGCGATCTACGTAAATGTGAGGAATATGGATGTCTTCTGGGGCAAACGACCCCACGTCCACAATTTCCTCAACTTCCACCACTGAGATGTCTGCAGCTTTGCACATGGGCACGTTGAAATTCCGGGCACTTCTCCTGAAAATGATGTTTCCGGCACGGTCCGCCTTCCAGCCTTTCACCAAAGCGAAATCTGCCGTGATGGCGTACTCCAGCAGATAATGGTGCCCGTCGAACTCCCGGATCTCTCGCGGGTTACTGAGGATGGCGTGGTGGCCGTCCCTGTAGTACCTGATGGGCACGCCCCCTTCCTGGACCAGCGTCCCGTACCCCGTGCGGGTGTAGAAGGCGGGCACCCCTGCACCGCCGGCGCGGATTCGCTCGGCCAGCGTGCCCTGGGGCGTGAGCTCCAGGTCCAGCTCGCCCGACAGGTACTTGCGCTCGAAGAGGTGGTTCTCACCCAGGTAGGAGCAGATGAAGCGGGAGATCTGCTTGGAGGCCAGTAAGAGGCTCAGCCCGTAGTTGTCCATGCCCGCGTTGGTGCTGACCACGGTCAAGTTTTTCACTCCACTCTTGTTCAGCGCCGTTAACAGGTTCTCTGGAATCCCGCAGACCCCAAAGCCCCCGACCATGATCTTCGCCCCGTCAGAGATGTCTTTCACAGCCTCGCTGGCCTTTGTGTAGAATTTGACGCGGGCAGGAACGCTGGTGGCGAAGCCACGGACACGACCCTTGGCCAGCGCGGGCCTGGGGCGCCCCACCGGGCCGCAGCGTCCGAGCGTGGAAGCGAGGAGCCGCAGGGCCGCCATCATGGCTCCCGGCTCCAAGGTCTGGCGGGGAAGGCGGGCAGCCTGGGGAGTCCTGCGCCCTTGCCTCCACGGTTGCCGCCGCAGCGTCACAGAGCTGGGAGGGCGCCCTGGGCGGCAGGGCACCGCCCCCCAGCCCCCCAAGGCGGGCGCTAGGAGAGCTCCCGTCACTGGCGGTGGTGGAGCTCTCCTGAGGGGCCCTAAGGAAGGGAGCCACCCACACATCACTCGACGGGAGACCCCTGCCAGTCTGCCTCTGTCCCGCTGCTGCCCAGGGGACCCGCTCCAGTTCCATGCCTGGAAATCCACTTGAGGGTCAGGGGATCCCACACCTGTCCCACTCTCACCTGTCCCACTCTCACCTGTCCTGGGATGATGTTTCCATCTCTTCCAGAGCCCTCTAGCACCTCATAAAGCTTAATTTCCTTCCTCACAGCTGCCTCTCCTCTGTTTCTCCCCAGCGTAACAACACCACCTTTTTAAAGTCCACCGGCGCCACCTTTTTAAAGTCCACGGGCACAATCTCTATGTTACCAGTCTCCCCACTGGTGTCATTTTCCAGCTGCCAACATCCACTCCCGGCTGTCACCTGGAACTGGCTCCAGGTGTTCCTGACTGCATGCTTGTCCCCACAGACTGCTCATCCCACTGCTATCTGGGGTCTTTATTTTATACATCTATCAGAATTTTTTATCAGATAATTTTTTATGCCAGCTGAGCTTTTCAGGACAATTGTCAGTTTAGTAGTTCCCATAGACCCAAGTCCCAGTTTTCCCTGAGAAAAGGTGACATTTAAATCCCTACATACATTTGGCAATGAACCCGTCTTGGTATCTACTGAGTAGGTGCCACCGTTTATTCAAATTTCATTATTTTTCTCAAATGTCCTTTTTCTCTTCCAGGATCACACATGACATTTAGCCTACAGTGCTTTAGGTTGTGCTGGTCACAACTGCTCAGAATTTTACATATTTTTAAAAATTAGAATTATTTATATGTGCATACAAGAACTGGGGTACAGGCTAGAGATGCAGGGAGTGAGAGGATTCACCAGCAGATCTACTGAAACACACTGCTGTGGGTCAGCAGGGGCTGAGGACAGCTTCATAGTGCTGCGCTTTAACCCCTTGCACCACCAGAGAGGGCCCTCATTCTCTTTCTTTTTTTTCTTTTTTTTTTTTTTAAAGATTTATTTATTTATTCATACAGAACTGGGGTACAGGCCAGAGATGCGGGGGGTAAGAGGCTTCACCAGAGACAGAG